AGCAAATAAGGGAAGAGATTTTCAAAGCGCTAAAACACGCCAACGCCAGGGAACGGCTGGCATCGCCCTGTCGTTAAAACACGCCCGCACCAGTCAAAGAGTTAAGGTACTCTCCTAATACAATCCTCTGAAGACAAATTAAAACTATGCAAAACAGGTGACAAAACTCAAAGCCACCTGTTATTATGAACAGCATACATCATACTACAAACAAAATACCAAACGCCAAATACAGTTACAATAGAATGGATTAGTCAGCATTTCTAACCTGTAACACTGTATTATATTTGGGTGATGACAGGGCTCTTGAACTAAGGACCACAAGAGATTTCAGAAAAATCACTATTGGAGACATCAATAATAGATTTCTTCAAAATTACTGTGTAAGGCTTGATGTAAATACATCCCTGGTTTTGTGAAAACAAAAGAACTTACGGGTGATATGCTGAATTCAAGGTCTTCTCAGCATTGACTATTAAGAGTACTATCTTCAGGGATGTGATGCCATGAAGAAATCACCAATATTTCAAGGAACATATTGCCTCTGCAAAGGCACATTTGGGAAGACTTGGGGACTGACACCAAGGGTGGTATATTGGATATATACTGCAGTGGTAAGACCCATAATCACCTATGCCACCACTAAATTCAAAACAAGTCAGGAAGAACTTAGCAAACTGCAAAGGACAGCCTGCTTGAGAATAATGGGAGCAATGAGAACAGCTGCAATGGAAATCCTACTAGGACTCCCTCCACTGCATTTCCAGATGGAAGCAGAGGCCAAATTAGGAAATACAAATTATGTTGCAATGATCAATGGAGACCTATATCTAAAGGTTTTGGACATGCATACAAAACTCGGGACATGGAAAAAGAACCCATCCTACAGATGGGATCCAATAAAATGTTACTGAAACATGTTTATGATAGACCCTTCACGATCAGATTTCCTGATAGAAGTGAATGGAAAGAGGGGTTTCAACTCAATAGAAAGGGGGGACTAATCTGATATACAGATGGTTCCAAGAAAAATAAAGGCACTGGAGCTGGGGTGTATTATGATGGAGCGAGGCTGAAGCATACCTTCAGCCTCGGTCAGTACACAACAGTATTCCAGGCAGAGGGGTATGCCGTTAAGGCATGCACAGTTGAGAATTTAGATACGAACTATAGAAACAGGAACATCTATATACTTTGAGAATTTAGATAGGAACTATAGAAACAGGAACATCTATATACTTTGAGAATTTAGATATGAACTACAGAAACAGGAACATCTATATCCTATCAGACAGTCAAGCTGCAATTAAAGCACTTGGTACACACCATATCACTTCAAAATTGGTTTGGCTGCCACCAATCCCTCATACAAAAGGCGAGACATAACAGAGTACACCTGATATGGGTGCCAGGTCATGAGGGGAACAAAACTGCAGATCAGCTGGCAAGAACAGGATCTGAACAGCCTTTCATAGGACCTGAACCAGCTTGCGGCATCTCAATTGGAGTTTCCAAAAAAGTGATCAGGGACTGGACTGATATCATAAAAAATACTGGAAATCCATAATGGTTTTATAGCAGGACCCTCTGCCAGATGAACAAAGGATCTGTTGATATTAAACAGAGATCAACTAAGATCGGTGGTAGGATTACTTATCGAACACTGCCACCTAAAAGGACACCTTTTCAAGTTGGGACTGACAGATAAGCAAACTTTTGAAAGGTGCCTACAAGAAAACAAATCAGCCACACAGATGAAGGCAGTACAATCCTCTGAAAAATTGGTGAACTTCTACCTCACTGCAACATGTCCCATCCCAGAGGAAAATATTGTACTTCGGGGATAAAAATGCTGCTGCAGAAACTGATGGCATTAGGGCCACAAAATGTAAAAACATGTGTGATGTGTCATTCATTTCGACTTTCCCTAGTTAGTTATTAGTTACTTATTCGAGAGGGTGGGTTTCCCTATGCACTTAGACCAGTACTGGTCCACTGTGCTTCCCTCTATGATATTCTACCAGTCTCTATACCCTACCAATATTGGTGTGTCCCATCAGTCCAGACCGAGCCAGCGAGTTCGGGCTCTACTGGCTTGGCGGTATCTATAATGCTTCCCCCATCTATCAGAGGCGTTACAGACTACTGTTGGGCGGGAAACGTCCTTGAATTTGGCTGTGACCTCCTATGGAGATATGAGGTTCTTTTACGTGCCATAAAGCTACGACACGGGACCCACGGCTTAAGTCCCTCCCGGAGGACTTGTTCCCTGAATTTTTCCGCCCTTAAAAATTCCACGACCTTCACCGGGTTTGAACCCGCGTACCACGAGTCATGAGGTGGGAACGTTACCTCTAGACCACGGAGGCCGCTTCGACTTTCCCTAACTATACAGAGATTAAAACTTGTCAATGCTACGTGCAGATCTCAAAGATCTAATGCTGCAACCATGTATTACAGAAAGGTACGGGGGAATGAAGTGGTACATTAAATCGTCCAAGCCTTAACTAAATTCTGCAATCCATGATGCATGTTATCGATGTCAACATGCAACCTTCACACCATTTCAGCTGCAGACAGGACTGGTCAAAACTGATTATGACACACAAGCTAGGTTCAGCTTCTCCTGGTGTTGGAAGACCAAAAAATCCTATATTACAGTGGCTTCTGGAAGGGTTTTGTGAAGAAGATTCCTCTAACAGAATGCAGGCAAAACCACAAAAAACATGTCACAAGGGAGAAAATATTAGACAGGAAACAACACATTGGTATCGAGACTGTAAGGTGGCACTGTGTTTTGCGATATATTTCAAAGAGTTTCAGACAAAACAATTCCTAAAAGTGATGTGAAATAATGTGAAACTCCAAAGGTTTCAAGAAGATATTTTAGCAAATTAATGTGAATAAAATGAAGAGTATACTATCATTAACGTTTCCACAAAAATTTACAAACTACAGGAAAATATCACTTTAATGCTATTCCGAGCACAGTGCAGTGATTTAAAAACCAGCCTGAAAGTTTATGAATGTAACAAAATGGTGGCTTTTTCCTCCATCATTAACCCTTCAACCATTATCTTGCACCACCACTCAAGAGTGCAGGCTCCAAACCCTCATTCTCTGTGTTTCTGTGCTACTGGTTTTCCATCACAAAGAACAGCTGATTGTACTTTGTGTTCTTCAAAATAAAAAAAAATAATGTTCGACAACTCTATCCATACCATCAACTTACTACACTTTCTGACAAGGTACCAACTTCCAAGTTGTATTATGTCAAACTTTGTTTCATGTCCACATACTTCATACTTCCTACTTCCTACTCCAAGCAACATTCTATGGAGTCACAGCCCAAGCTTTCTCAAATATATATCACAATAGCTCCCTGCATGTATGCTTAGCACTTCTGCCTCAAGGTCAGGTAAATTCTCTACTTAGACACACAATACTGAATTCTACAATGCAGACTTCTCCCTGAGAAGAGAGCACAGAATGCCTCAACAGTCTGCCAACTATGAACAGCCTGAGGAGAAAAACTATGACTACAGAAACACCAAAGTGTTTTTAAAAAGAAGTTATCACTAGTTTAGAATCACTCATGATGAAAGGGCCAAAAAAGCCCCAAGAGTTTTTCATACATTAACATCAAGAAATTTACAGTGCCAACAAATTTTCTCTCAATATAATGAAGTTAACTTTATAAGCCATACTTGTTCTACCAGGGTTACATTTAATATGGACACTGTTATAGTGCATAACATGTTTCTGAAAACAAGATCAAAATTCATTATACTGCCTAACATATATCAAGGACAAGATAAAATCTGAAGGGATAACACTGATATCCACTCGCCACTATATCAAACGCTTCAACCATAGATCATCTGCACAATGGAACTGTGGAATAATTCTATGCTGAAGGGTTAAAAAGACATGCCAGTATTACACATGCAACATAAAACACATTATTCTTACTTATATCTGAAGCAGATAGACTTTCTCCAGAGGGTGGGAGGGTTGAATCCCCTGAGTTAGCGCTATACATTTCTGTTGGTTCTGGTTTGTTATCTGCTGACGTTGATGCACCACGCGCAAGAAGTTGTGACATGGGAGGCAAGGGATCTCGACTTGAACCCTGTCCACCGCCACCTGCACCTCCACCACCCTGGTTTGAATCACTGTAACTACATGAAGAGGCATCCTGTTCTTGTTCCATATAGTCTGGCATTTCTAATTTCAAGTTTGGTACAACTGGAATAATTTCAATAGGGTCCGGACTTGATTTTGAAGTCGACTGTGCCGATGAACTTGCAGGTACTGCAGACACCCGTCTCCTTTCAGTTTCCCTCTCTCTTTCCACATCTTTCTCAACTGTTCCACTACTAGGTACTGCAGAACTGTTTCCACTCTTTGCACTCCCACCCACACCACTTCCCCATTTCCGTCGCTTGCTGCTCGGTGGAGAATCAGACCGCTGGTCCACAGGGAAAAAGGAAACAGGTGAAGATACACTTCCACTACCAGAAGACATTTGTTTCTGGCCATGAGTGTTATTGCTAAGCTGAACTTCTGGTTCAGGCGGCATTATTGGAGAATCAGGTAATTCAACCTGCAAACACAATTTATACATATTATTAACATATTAAGTAAATTAACGTTTAAGTATACGAATAGCTATACAAAAGACAACATGTACTGTTGGGTGTTTCTTACCTCCTTTGGCTGATCAGACCCCTGGTCCTTTCCATTCCCATCAGAAAGTCCTTGAACCGCTAGTAATTCAGCCGTTGTAAGAAAAGATGCTAGCTGATCTTGCACAACATTCACTTCACCCTGGTACATGAAATCTATCAAGGCTGCCAAATCTTCAAATTTTACATTTCTGAATATTATAACAGGATGTTGGCATGGGTTCTCCTGCAACACATGCATTTGTTCAGTATTTCTCAATCATAAAGACCGTCAATGAACTAATACTTAATACTACTCATCATTTAAGGTTTTGATGGAGGACACTTCCTCCCTCACAACCACATTAATGAGATACACTGTCTACTTCCTGAGGTCTTAATTATATATGCACCAAATGCCTGGATGATCAGCATTCACTAGCAACCTCTGTATGGTGACATTTTTCATTAACAAAACATGATCAAACTGAAGAGGTCAGAACAGACATCAGCATATTTCAATGCAGTCATGAAATTTCATATGGTGGTAGATCGATGTAAGTATGGCACTTAGGAAAAAGGGAAAATAACACAGTAACCATAAAAATATTCTGGCATGAAAATCAATAAATCACTGTACATGCAAAATATTTTATTTTCATATACAGAAATATTTTATACAATGAAGACTTTTTGGGCAATCATCCATGCCAACATGGAGTTGGTGTCTGATGCTTCAGAGATGGTCACTGTCTCCATCATCAGGGGCTGTGATGAATGCTGTGTTCTCACGCTACACTCACACACAAAACTGTCATCCATCCCAGCCCAGACAGCGCAGCAGTCAGCTGGTCAGTGACATCCTGTCCGAAATGTTAAGACATCACCTCCACACTGACACAACTGATTGCCCTAAAATACTTCTTTACAAAGGAGTAACTCTGAAAGTAATGCACAATATTTAATTCAAAAAATCTTCTTTTATTATTCTGTGTTGCTATTCACACAGTAAACGGACACATTACTTTCACTTCCATTCAAAATTAGTTCACCCTTCACTCACAAGTGGCCCAGCTGTATCATTCATTAAACATGGCTGCTGTCCATGGCATTAATCAGAAACATGCTGTTCCTAGTGTGTGAGAACCAGACAGTGGCAAACTTCCACAAGCAACTGCAGGTGTACCGAGCACATCTGCAATATGCCGTGCAGTGGCAGGCCACAGTGAGCACAGACTCCAACACTGAGAGGATGAAACTGAAGCATAAATGTGAAACAGCTGTCACTCTGACAGGACAATGGAGAAGCAAGTGAATGTAGAATATTGAGCAGTTGCGATCTGCAAAGGTATATGGAGGGTGGGTCCCACAGCAACTAAGAGATGCACGCAAACACATTCAGAATGCCATTTGTGCAGACGTTCTGGCCTGGCATGGCATGGGTATGATGGAGGTGAATTTCTTTCACACCTCATGATAGGAGACAAAATATGGCTGCACCATTCTGAACCCAAAACAAAGACAAAATCAATGGAATGGTATCATGTGAATTCTCTGAGGAAGAAGAAATTCAAAGTTGTGCCTTTGGCAGGAAAGAGCATGGCAACAAATTTTCTGGGACTCAGAAGAACTTCTGCTTGTGGCCATCGTGAGAAGACGAACCACCAGTAATTCTGAAGCATACACGAATGCACTGAGAAAGCTTCATTGTTTGAACACACTGGCAGATTTCGGACATTCTGCTGCTGCATGGCAATGCTAGGACACACATCAGAGTGCAAACCATGAAGGTGATCAAAAACTTGAGGTGAACAGTGTTGCCACACCCAGAATACAGTCCTAATCTGGCACTGCCATATTACCACCCAATCAGTAAACTGAAAGCATTCATGGGACAAAATTTGAGGGCGATGACTCCCCTGTAGCATCACCAAAAAGGGGCTCAATAATGCTGGTCCTGTATTTTACCATGCGGGCATATATGTCCTTGTTCTGATATGGCATAATGCAGCTGACAGAAACTACATTAAAAAGAAGCATTTCATTCCTGAAGACTGTAAATACCCACTGTATGAATAGCAAAGTTGTAAAATTAAAACTGAGTTTCTAAAAGTATGGTGCATTACTTCAAAAGTGATCNTCATACTCTAACTTGATCCTCATATACTGTCTGTGAAAGTTTCAAATCAAATTATATTTTCCATTTGTGACATACGTGGCGTGTTCAAAAAGTATCGAAACTTTGGTCGGCAGAAATACATTTACTGATTTGGAGGTACAAAACCCTAATCCCCTTCAAAGTAGTCTCCTTGGTAATGCGCACACTTCTCCCAGCGCTTCCGCCATTGTTGGAAACACTTCTGGAACGCGTCTTTTGGAATGGTGATCAGCCGGGCCATCGCATTCCGCGTGATGTCTTCTCCTGACTCAAATCAGGTTCCTTTCAGCGGCATTTTCAGCCATGTTGGGGGAGTAGGGAGCCTGACAAACCACAGGGATGTTGTGTTTGGCAACAAAAGTCTGAATCAGATGCGCAGAATGGGCGGGTGTGTTATCATGATGGAGCTGCCAAGTTTTTGCTGCCCACAGATCCAGTCGTTTGCGCCGCGCAGCATCACGAAGGCGACAAAGGACCTCCTGGTAGTATCCCTTTGTGATGGTTTGGCGTTGTGGTGCATACTCATGATGCACAACCCCACGGGAGCTGAAGAAAACAGCCAACATGACCTTGACATTGCTGTGGACCTGCTGAGCTTTCTTTGGCCTCGGGGATGTCGGATGTTTCCACTGTGACGACTGCATCTTTGTTTCCGGGTCGTACCCATAAACCCACAACTCATCGGCTGTGATCACGGTGTTCAGAAAGTTGGGGTTACTGTTTGCACTGTCCAGCATGTCCTGTGCAATTTCCAGACGGTCTTGCTTCTGCTCCATTGTTAGCAGTTTTGGTACAAATTTCACGGACACTCTCCTCAAGCCCAAATCCTCGGTCAAAATTGAATGTACCGATCCAATGCTTACCCTTATCTTGTTCGCAAGTTCTCAGAATGTGATACGACGGTCCTCCGTGACCTCAGTCCGCACTTGCTCAATGACATTCTCATTTCAGCTTGCTGAGGGTCTGCCTGAAAGTGGTTTGCTGCCCACTGATGTGCGGCCATCTTTGAAGCGGTTGTACCACTCCTTTATCCATGAGTTGCTCATGGCATCATCCCCGAAATCCTGTTGAATCTTGCGAATGGTTTCCCCTTGGGTATCGCCAAGCTTTTGGCAAAATTTGATGCAACATCGCTGCTCATGTTGTTCCGTCATTTTACACCTTACTGGAATCCGACGAGCGCTCACTACACATCCTCACTCATAGGCCGACTGCCAGCGACTGACACTTTCTGCAGGCAGGAAAAAATTCACGACTACGAATGAACGTCCCCTCCACATCTCCACCGAAGGGAGCCTCCCGCGCTTCATTGGTTTACGCGGGGAAAAAAGGTTTGATACTTTTTGAAAACACCACGTACATGGAACGGTATACTACTCTGTCCAAAAAGTATCAGACCTTGGGCTGGGAAAAAAAGTTCTGTATCTGGGTGGTTTCAATACCTAATCGCCTTCAAAGTAGGCCCCTTGTGACTCCACACACTTAGCCCAGCGGTCCTTCCATCGCTGGAAGCAATTCTGGAAGGCTTCTTTTGGAATGGCGTCCAGCTGCGTCATCGCGTTCTGTATGATGTCCTCGCGGCTGTCAAAATGGCAGCCTTTTAGCGGTGTCTTCATTCTCGGGAACAGCCAGAAATCACAAGGAGCCATGTCAGGAGAGTAGGGAGCCTGGTGAACCTGCGGAATGCAGTGCTTGGCCAGGAAACCCTGGATCAGGTATGATGAATGAGCTGGGGCGTTGTCATGATGCAGCTGCCAGTTGTGTGCATCCCACAACTCTGGTCTCTTGTGCCGAACTGCATCATGAAGATGGCGGAGGACTTCTTGGTAGTATTCCTTATTGACAGTTTGGCCTAGTGGTGCATACTCATGATGCACCACGCCCCGGTAATCAAAAAAAAAACAGTCAGTATCACCTTCACATTGCTCCAAACCTGTCGTGCTCTTTTGGGCCTCGGGGATGGCGGATGCTTCCATTGTGACGCCTGGACCTTGGTTTCCGGGTCATATCTGTACACCCATGACTCGTCACCAGTGATCACAGTCTTCAGGAAATCAGGATCCCTGTTGGTGCACTCCAGCATGTCCTGCGTGACCTCAAGACAGAGTTGTTGCTGCTCCGTCAAAAGCAGCTTGGGCACAAATTTTGCCGCCACTCTTCGCATGCCCAAAGCCTCAGTTAAAATTGTATTTGCAGAACCTCTGCTGATCCCAACCTCATCAGCAACTTCACGGATGGCCAAATGACGGTCCTCCATAATCAGCGTCCGCACTATTTCAATGACATCAGCACTGACGGTCTCCCAGAACACTGCTCACTGTCCGCTGACATATGGCCATGTTTAAAGTGGTTGAACCACTCTTTAATTTGAGTGACCCCCATTGTATCATCGCCAAAAGCCTGCTAAATTTTGTAAATTGTTTCCACTTGGGCATCCCCAAGTTTCTGACAAAACTTAATGCAGTATCGCTGCTCCAACCGTTCTGTCGTCTTGAGCAAAACGAGAACGCGATGAACACATGTTACACCACTTCGCTATCTGCCAGCCACAGTCGCATCTGGCAGTGTTACGAGTCAGCAAAAAATCACGCATGCGCATGAAAGTCCCTTCTACCACTACGCTCAGTTTCCCCACCCCTTTGGCCATTACTTACAGCGGAAAAAATAAAGTTGGATACTTTTTGGACATACTGTACTTCTATAAGATAGAATCACTGAACTACACATAAAGACTGCATAGTGATAAATGCATATGTCTATTGGTAGTAGGTAGTACTGAAACATACTACACAAATTCCTTCAGAACTGTACATCACAGGACACTAAGTGCATCTGAATACATCTCAGCATTACAGCCATTGAAACAAGGTAAATAAAACATGATTTGATGTTTTATAGCAATGAAGACTCATTTTGCGGCCTCCTAGATTACAACAAAGTGTAGTCTAACAAACAGTTTCCAAGTAACACAAGGCCACAATTCTATCCTAAATATGGAGGCAGAACACTGCTTCCCATCTACCGGGCACCCAAGGTGTCATAACTCAGAACCACACTATGAAGGCAAGAAAGCTAAGTAGTAATTACAGACAAAAGAGAACAAATGTGCAATACATTTCTGTGTGAGGCAAGATCCAGGCTTTTATTCACAGGTTGTGGTGACCAGGCCTGCACAAATTTCCCATAAAACTACAAGCAACCTGCAAAAAATTAGGAGCCAGAATAAAGACACAATAACTCAGGTGATAATTTTGCTTGTTTTCATTTATGAAAAGTCAACTGACACATCTATATATAAGCAGTAGCCAGTTCATTTCAATTTCAAGAAAAATACAACGTACTTGTGCAAGAATATGGCAAAAACGTCAAAATTTCTTTCATCACTGCCAGAATATGACAAGAGGATGGCCAAACAAAATGGATGGGAAGGCAGTGCAGGATAAAGGAGTTTAGAATATGAAGGGTAAAACGGAAGAACAGTGGCACGAGAGACAGAATGTGAATCAGGAGGAGGGAGGGGGACAAGGATGATAGGATGGACAAATGAATGGGACTGGAAAGCAATAACAGAGAGTGAAGAAAATGAGATAAACACAAAATGGATAAAGTAAAGGACGAATTAAATTATTCTGCCAATATTCTTTGACTGACTACACACTAACAGAAGAAAATTCTAATCACCATCATGGAAGTATTAGGTGCCATAGAGATCTGGTACCCATAATTTGTGCAGGCCTGGCATAGACAGTACTGCACTCAAAAGGTGACAAACAAACCCTGCATTTCTGTTAACATACCAATATATTTACAATTCTCATTTTAATCAAATGGCACGTCTGATAATAAAAAATGAAAACCAACAGAACACAGGACATGAGAAGCAACAGTATACAATATAACATGGAGGTATGCACTTCATTTTCAGCTTGCTTGTTTCATATTTCCAACTCACCTTGAAAAGATCTCTGAAATATGTGCTGCAAGCAGAAAGCAACATTTTGTGTGCTCGGATTCGCTTTCCTTCGCAACTGAGGGTCACATCCACAAGGTCCTCATCACTCCGCAGAGAGTCAAAAGCACAAGTAATGTGGCGCAAGTAATTGTTCCAACGTAAAGAAAACTGCTGGCCGGTTCCCATTTTTTTAAATACCTGCAACACAAATAGAATTGTGTTATAAAAACGTTTCCTGGAGAGTGACTTTTCATCTTGCAAAGCCATGCTACATTCAAGTGCAGCTGTAGCAGTTCAGGACAGAAAATTAAAAACACAGGTAACTACTTGTGAGACTGAATTATACAAACAAGGCTTTACTGCACATTCTGATGTCATTATGTCTCTGCCCTAAACATATGTGGTGGAACTCTTGTTGCAGCAATCACATTCTGTCTAAACATGAATTAAAAACGGCCGATATATTAGATCACAATAAAGGAATATTGAAAAATCCATCAGGATCCTGTAAACATGTGCATGCCAAACAGTGTAAGCTGACAGAAAAATACTACATGGGGAAGTTGTCTGAGAGGATCTAAAAAATCCTACAGTGTCAGAGAAGATGACACGGCTGCCCATGTCGCCTTGCACAGAACACGACTTTGGACCCATGGCACGCCAGTAAGTCAACAAGCAAGCTGCCTATACAATAGTAGAGTGAATTTACAGACTACACAACACGTTTTTTATTATCACATTATCACTACATGTTTCGAACTTAAGAGGTCATCTTCAGGTGTATGAACACGGCTGCATAATTGCACGCGGTCACATTCACTTTTCACTCATTCGACCTTGTATCTAATCCAGACTTACACTCACTGATATATAGAGTTCTTTTTATAAAACACAGGTTAAAATTATTATTCTAATTTAATTGTTAAAAGTTAAAAGTTCGTGAATCGAGGTTCAATTCATGTCACTGGTTACACTTTCACTTGTTTTTCGGTCTCATTTTACTTACGCTCACTACTATATCTAGTTCTTTTAAAAGCTAGTTTAATTATTATTATTGTTAAAAGTTTGTGAATTGAGGTTCAACTTTACACTTTACAAATAAAATTTACTCAGATAACAGCAGATGCCGGAAACACTCTAGACTGTTTGGGCCTCAGGTGGCCCATACATGTAGAAGTCTGCCTCGCGAGTCCAGCTCGGCAAGGAGCCAAGCTCGGATTAATTTCACCACACGAGTGTGACGACCCACACACAGACGAGTTTGGCTCACTGGAACCCGAGCCAAGTTGGACTCACAAGCCAGACTCATATGTGTATGGGCCCCGTCACACCTCTGTAATTCCAGTTCAAGGATTCTGTGGAACACAGTACTGAACCCTTCTCCCCTGTGTAAGGCATCTTAAGGATTTCTGGGAAAGTCCAAGCACCAATTTCATCCAAATTTGTCAATGAGCACTTAGCATTTCAACTTGGTTCTTTTGTCAGTCCTATAACATCCATGTCTGCATGAATTCTATCTGTAACATCCTGAAATTCAATCCAGAATAATCTCTTTACTTTCTCACACAGATATCATACAATGTGTAATTCACATATGGCTTTTCAACATACAGAATAGTCTGATCCAGCACCAGGATCATAAGGCTTGGGATTAATGAGTGGGCTGACACATCACTCAAAAGCTCCCTCCAGCTGTGTGATTTATTGGTGTAATACTTATGGAAAATTGTAAATGTGTATAAGCCATTTGGTTTGTTGGAGACACCAAGTCGAAACATGTGCAGTGCAAAGTTACCTGGGTAGCCTTCCAGTCAAACCAGCGAAGGATTTTATGAAAATCTCCGATTGCTATTCTGTATCATATTTTCACCAATATGTGCCTCCTGATGGGGTTTTGGATTGGATATTGGATTTACTGACCACTTTAGCAAATAACTTGTAATAACACTTAATTACAGCAGCATCATTGATTTCCAAACTTTACTAGTCTTTTCTAGCCTGCAGTGTCTTCACTAATAGTTGCTGGTTTCTGAGAACAGCTTTTCCTCTGCATCCAGGCTCAGGTCCTCTCTGAAAGGCAGCTCCCTTCCAACTGAACTATTCTTCAGAATCCCATACAGAACTGACTCAGTTGTCCCAATTGCCTTCCTTATAACCATTTTGCATGAACCGAGCAGAAAACACCATTTCCAATGCCACCTCCATTGTTGCATTAATATCTGTTAAGGCAGGAACATGTTTACCAAGGCACCGGCTAGAAACGAATATGTTTCATAGCCATTCACTGTTTCTCTGGCTACATAGTTCTTACTGTGAGCAAATATGCCACAATCTTATGGACATGGAATTGCTCAACACAAACAAATGCATTAAAGAGGTCAAAATGGACTACAACTTCCGACTAGATTTAGTCGAAACATGCTACTCAATACACATCCTCAATATGAAAGAAAACGCCTCCCCCCCCCCATCAAACTAGACAAACTTTAGAAGTTTCAAAACAGATAAATAAGCTTTATTATTAAGAGGGAGGAATACTGTATTAAACATCTTGTTGCATGAACATATTTTATTGCATTTCGTGTGTGCATGTGCGCGTGTGTGTGTGTGTGTGTGTGTATCTGTCATTAATGCAACTCGTTATAGTCACTTTACTTATTCCTTCTCAACATGTTTTGCTGTACACAGGCATCATCAGGCGTCCACCATTACACTAAAACTGCTACACTGCTCAGTATGCCACAATTTCATATCAAAATTAAAATAGGTCAACCCTGATTAATTTTAGTCAAAACTAGTTAAATTCCTTTCTTCTTGTGTGTCTCATCTACTTAAATATGTAACTAACTGTTTGCAAATCCATTTCTCTCCTTTGAAGATAAATATCCGTCTGTCCATCTTATAAAATACTAGATGGTTCAAATATGACCGAGACTGATTTTTTTGTAAACAAGCGACACTGCGCAGGAGCTGTGCGACCTTGAGAGATTGTAGCCACAACCTCCACTCTCCCTCCTGTTACGGTTAGAACCTGTTCAGTGCTGTCTGGGAGTTGCTAGAGGGATGAACGTACAGAAGGTACCGCAGAGTGTGGAACAACGCATTGTGATCAAATTCCTCGGAGAAAACGTCCCGTCCGCTGAAATTCAACAAACTCCAACAACAGTATGGGGAAGTGTGTCTCTCACGGACCCGTGTGTTTGAGTGGTGTAAGTTCTTCAGAGAGGGCAGAGGGCGCGTGGAGAATGAACCGCATGATCGTTGGCCGCGAACATCCATTGGGCAGACATGCTTATTCGTGAGAATAGGCGCATCACTATCAAGGAACTTGGAGTAATGTTGTCCATCAGTGATGGAAGTGTAGAACACATCGTGAAATACCACCTGCACTATCGCAAGGTGAATGCACGGTGGGTACCACGCACTTTGACGAACATGAACAAAATGGTGCACATGCAAGCTGCCAGTTGTCTCCTACGGCAGTTTGAAGATGAAGGTGATGCATTTTTGAAGTCTATAGTGACCACCGATGAAACGTGGGTGCACTACTTCATTCCCGAGTCCCAGCAGTCATCACGCGAGTGGCGGCATACCAGTTCTCCCAAACCCAAGAGCGCGTGGAGGAGCCGCTCAGCAGGAAGTGTGATGGCAACGTTCTTCTGGGACTGGCAGGGGGTTATCCATGTAGACTTTCTGACAGATGCCAGAACAGTCAGTGCAGCTTATTACTCAGACCTCCAGGCAGCAGACGTGAAGGAAAAGATCCGATCCAAGCGGAAGACAGGTGGAAAGTGGGCAGCCTTCCTTCAACACAATGCACGCCCCCATACGGCCAAAACAACAATGGACAACCTTCGGAAACTGAAATGGAACCTCCTGACACATCCGCCGTACAGTCCCGATTTGGCCCCAAGCAATTTCTACCTGTTCGGAAGGCTTAAATCAGACTTGCAGGGCATGTGGTTTGTGGACGACACCGTCATCCAGACTGTTTGGGAGTGGATACGCCGCCAACCACAAGTCTTTTGGGGGGGGGGCATCAGGGTGCTTCCAGAAATTTGGATAAAATGTGTTGACTCCGGAGGGGAGTACGTTGAAGACTGACATGTGTAAGTAAGTGTTTGGCAATTATGTTTTTTTTAATCAGTCCCGGTCATATTTCGACCACCTTGTATTGTGGCATGTCACTGCATTGCCAGACAACAGTTTGATAAACATCCCATGATACACACATGCAACAATAGGATAAATGTTTATAGCTCGTTGCTAGGCAACAGTAAGTGCACCAGTGGACTTGCGAGGTGGCCATCATGTGACTTGTTTACTGTGTGGTATGCACTACACAACAACTGAACTGTGTTTCCTTGCGTTGTCCATGCCGCGGCCATATAACATGAGTCTGCTTGCAGCTAAAGGGAGTCCAGGAGGGTTCAACAGTTGATAGTACAAGGACGAGAATGAAGCATGTCCTTAGTGAACTGTGAAGATTAAGTGAGTATCAATTAGGACAGAGGAGTACACAGTGATTATAGGCATAATAACAAAAAGCCTTCACAGTGATTTGAAGCACTAGTTTCTGTGTTGAAATCCGCTGCTAGGAAATGACTATTGGAAACTGGGAATCCTCATGCATGTGCGAAAGTGAACTGTACATTCTGTAATTAGCAACTGCCCTGCATTAACTGTAATTAATATAATGAGACAGTACATCACCTATTCACAGACTTCAGGAAAGCCTATTATTCAGTTAAGAGGGAAGTATTGAACAATATTCTGATAATAGTTTGGGATACCCATGAAACCAGTTAGTTTAATTAAAATGTGTTTGAACGAAATGTATAGTAATGTCCATATGGGTAAACATTTGTCTGACAAATTTCCTATCCAGAATGGTCTAAAACAAGATGCTTTATCGCCACTCCTTTTCATCTTTGCCTTAGAATATGCAATTAGGAAGGGCCAGGGAAACCAGGTGGGACAAAAATTAAACAGGACACATCAGCTGTTGGTCTACACTTATGATGTGAATCTATTGGGTGATAATGTAGATACCATAAAGAAAAACAAACAAACTTTAATTGACACAACTAAAGAGGTTGGTCTAGAAGTAAACATAGAGAAAACTAAGTGTATGTTACTGTCTCGTCACCAATATGCAGGACAAAATTATGACATAAGATAGGAAACAGATGTTTTAA